TTGACCACCTCGGTGCTGCAGTGGTAGGTATGTTGCAAACAAATCCAGTTTCAAGTTTGATCTTTGGCCGATACAATTTACAAAATAAACTGTGTTCTGGGTTGTGCTCCTAGATGTTCGTTGCCTCATTTATACTTAACGGGGTATTTTGAGAGTCAAAATTATTTGTATCGGTGTGATTAAATGGAACTTATTCATCTGTCCACACATATATACATATCTAATCTTATTTAAAACGAGCGACATGTTTTTTTTGTACCAGATACCAGAGGGAGACTTTGTACAAAAGTCGATTGCTTGGGTGCCTTTGTCCCATTCGTGTTTCTACCGTGAAGCAGTTGTATTGGCATGGCTGTCTTTCTGTTTGAAGGGTGGGATATGGCGTGAATTTACTGGGTACAGAGGAATAACACCTGAGTCCTCAGGAATGGCAACGCATGGGGGGTATCATGGGCGAAACAGTATACTTTGTTATGTCCATGATACTGCTCATGTCTATAGGCGACGGTTACCACTTCCCATCAGGTGGGCCATCAACTTGTTTGCTATTCTAAGTTGTATAAAAAAAAAGTTTTTTTTTAAGTTTTAGTTATGACAAATAGCTAATCGTTATTGCAATTCTTACCCGTACTATTTCTATGGTGCACATCTTGCTGTGGTCGAAGTTCAATTTAGGCTTTAAATTTTTCAAATCTTATTACGATTTTTTTATGATTATTCATAAAAATATTTTCAATATTGTTTTTTATATGGTTAATGTGTAAGAGTCCTCGTAGCATGACTTTCATATGCGATCTCAGAGTTACGGGAATAGTTGAAAACCAGCGCTGTTTCGGATTTTCTAGGTTAGTACAAACGGAACTACCTCCTTTGCTTTATATAAATATTAGGTTTTCTTTTTTTGTTTTGGTAAAATACTAATTATACCTAATTATAATCTAATTATCTAATTATAATTAGAAGGATTATTATTACCTGTTATAAGGAACTCTATTTGTATATCTTCTATCTGTCACGATATTCTGTCGGTACTTATGACTGATACTAGTAAAACGTTATGGTACAGTAAAAACCACGTGATAAAATAACGCCGGCGTGCACGCATGCGCAGTCGGTCAGTGGATCAAGGTGGCACTTTCACCGCATGAGTCGAGGCCGTGAGTACCACTGATGCAAGCCTCGTCGTTGTATGTTAACTGGTTGCATTTTTATGCTATTATAAGTTGCAAATTTATTGCTATGGTAGTGTTATTTCGAGTATTCCGCGTGTTACATTTATGGCGTTTCATTCCTGTAGACAACTCTTATAGATAGATAGATACTCTTTATTGTTTCCTCCAAAAGATTACAATAGTAAACTTATTATAAATATAAACAATTACAAGAAATAATCACAATGAGAAAACAATAGGCGACCTTTATCCCTAAAAGCGATCTTTTCCAGGTAACGTTTGGATGGGGAGGAGTAATTATAAGCAGTTTGATCAGAGGCACGATGAAATTCTATTATTGTAATGTTCTCTTTTTTTTTATACAACTTAGAATGGCAAACAAGCTGACGGCCCACCTGATGGAAAGTGGTAACCGTCGCCTATAGACATGAGCAGTATCATGGACATAACAGAGTATACTGTTTTGCCCATGATACCCCCATGCGTTACCTGGGATACATGCGTGGGATATGGCATGAATTTACTGGGTACAGAGGAATAACATCTGAGTCCTCAGGAATGGCAACGCATGGGAGGTATCATGTGCGAAACAGTATACTCTGTTATATCCATGGTACTGCTCATGTCTATAGGCGACGGTTACCACTTTCCATCAGGTGGGCCGTCAGCTTGTTTGCCATTCTAAGTTGTATAAAAAAAACTTATATAACGCAAGCCTCAAGTTGGCTGGTCAATAGATCAAGGTGGTACTTTCACCACCGCAGTGGGGTCGAGGCCGCGCCACCAGGCCAGACCTCTGCATCTATGGTTGAATTAACATCGCACATAGTTTGTCTATTGTATTCAATACACGTGTAGTGAATGAGCGTACTTTCTGCTTATTTATTTCCAAATTACATGTGCTTCGCTCTTATGCGTTAATATTAGATAACTTATAAAAACAAAAACATTGGTGTTTTTGTCATATATATATATATATATATATATATATATATATATATATATATATATATATATATATATATATATATATATATATATATATATATATATATATATATAATAATCATAGATGGCGAATATTGGAGATTATTTGGACCATCGCAAAGAATTTACCAGGAATACACCACGATGGTTTCTGGGAGATACCGCGCAGATAGTTGTATATTTCTAGTATTGAAGATAGCAGTATTGTGGGGCGTTTACTTTGTATATGTTATATTTGAAATATAAAACTGTACTTTTGCATGTGACGTTCCTATTTTTTTTTTTGCAACACAAAATCATTAGATTACGTTTCTCAAAATAACCGAACTATACTCATTAATTGTAGAATCATCAATAAAGATTCTGAATTTGTACAGATAATATGAAAAGTAAATCTGTCAATTTGAGAATCTTGGCCAAATTTTTGGAATTGTTAAAAAACTTTAAAGCCCTAAAAAACTATTCAATGAAACCATATTTTTAACGAAGGAGAAGAGCCCATAAGAGAGAGATTTGATATTTTTTTAAATCCCAATTAGTGCGATGTTGTTCTGTAATAGATTGACGTGATATGACGAGAAGGACCGGCGGATGCATTAATACGTCTCAACCGGTCCGTTGGGTGCTGCTTTACGTTTTATAGTCCAGTCGACAGTGCTATTGCTTGAATAATCGCTTAATTAATAAACAGTCCCGTGTTTAAAATTAAAATTTGTCATTATAGCTTCTTGATTAATTATCAAGCAAGTTTTATGAAGAAGATGGTTCTCGATTCTTATTTATTGTTCTACTAAATGTGCACAGATTTTAATTATTCTTTTCGCAGTCGGTAAAGTTTACTTCCATTTCAATTTCATATCAATGGCATGACGGTTCAAGCTGTTGTTTATCTTTACAGAGCAAAAGACTGCATGTTGTGACGCCAAATGCTCACGTAGACACATGTTTCCGCATTCTAAATTTAAATGTTTTATGTCCGATTTTTGTACAAAATGTCAGTCATTAGGTGTGTTTGCTTTTCCATTAAACTCACTCGCTAAAAAGTTTATTACAGGGCGCAATATATTTTTTTTTACAAACAAACCTGTTTGTAAAAGCTAATTTGTAAAAGAATTTGTTTTATAATATATACATGAAAAACCTTTTCTTAAGTATTGTTTGGCACTAGACTAGGCACTGGAGTTTGCCAAATCGACCAAAAACTGTACATCCAATTTGCGTGAAGGCGCTTTCACGCGGCGGGTCGAGGCCGCGACTTGTGACCCGTGACATGAACGGTCTAATTAGCCCATTGCGTCCTCTAGACGCTTTACTGCGTCTCGGCTCTTGCCAGCGATGTGGTGACGTCACGACGGGGAAGCAGTTGAATTTCGAATGTTTTCATAAAAATCGTTGTTGGAATCGGGACAAAATATTGTGTCTATTAACTGCTTTCAATATAATCATAAGAACGATATACGAATATATTACACAGCCATAGCGACCAGTCTTCAAATGATTTAAGCGTGGTATTGCTCAGCAGAGGACAAATAACGGCTGATATGATGATGATGATTGCTTTGATGATTGATTGATTTTAACCCATTACATTTCTATCTTCTAGCTCTTTCAATTTATTTCCTCAATTGGCTTACATCGAAGTGAGTGTCATTAGTGATTCTCCTTAACGACGGAATTTAGGCATTTGTTTACCCCAATTATTTTTATCATCCCGGAATTGATTGGCCTTCGCCGATTCTTAATTTCAGTGTGTTTGCTATCAGGAGACAGAGTCGTGACAAAGTGTGTAGCGATAGTCCCGACTTAGAAATATGGTGTGTAATCTCATTTTCAGCTCAGTATATCCTGATCCCTAAGTCATAAATACCCCACGTATATTGCTTAATATTGTAGATTAGATACACTAGTTATGGTATATCTAATCGGAAAATGGAATATACCACTCATTTGTGTTTAAAAATTGTAGATAAAAATGTAATCTAAATCTGTAATTGTAATTATTTTGAACTATATATTGAAAATGGTAGTTTCGCTTTGATTATGCTCAGTACTTCAGCACTAAATGGAGTCAGAACTTTGATTTTTCCATGTGGCGACATTAATTCTCTGGTCTACACCCTTGATGCCCAAAGGGAATTCCTGGAAAAGAAAGGAACTACTATGAAACTAATCATCTTCATGTATCATCTCTCACTGGGTGATAACTGTCCTTGGTTACCATCTGCGTTATATGTATTTATTAAATCAACATCATTATTTTTTTTATGCAACTTAGAATAGCAAACAAGCTGACGGCCCACCTGATGGAAAGTGGTAACTGTCGCTTATAGATATGAGCAGTACCATGGACATAACAGAGTATACTGTTACGCCCATGATACCCCTCATGCGTTGTTATTTTTGAGGACTTAGGTGTTATTCTTCTGTACCCTGTAAATTCACTGCCATATCTCACCCTTCAAACCAAAACAGAGATATGCAAACATAACTGTTTTACGGTAGAAACACGAATGGGACAGAAGTGTCCAAACAAACGACTTTTGTACAAAGTCTCCCTATTGTAAATTATGGCAAGCTGTTAATGCCCCACTGCTGTGTATGATCCTTTTCGTTTAAGAAGGAAGCCTAAAGGAAGATAAAAAATTTTATTCTCAAATCAAAAGAGCCGTGTTAGTGTATCACGCTGTCCGAGCAGCTGTTGATAGCGTCACTATTATTAGCAGCAGCTAGTCAGCTGCATAAGTTTAGTTTTAAGTTTTCCCTCATAATCTACTGGTAGGTATATTTTGATTTGTTATTTATTAGAACGTTTAATGGATGTTATAATATTTATCTTTCCAGGCGCCGACATGACCTTCCAAGGTGAGTACGCGGCACAAGTCCTCGGTCTGCCAGGAGAGACGCCGGCGCCGTGCTCCCCGCGGCCCGGCTCCCGGCCGGCGTCCCGAGCGTTCCCCCTGGACGCGCCCGCGCCCGTTCCACCCGAGCCCTACAGGAAGGAGGAGAAGGAGACCAACCATGTCACCAAGTTTAACAATGTAGGTTTTTTATTCCAAACCAAAAGTGACTACATGTTTCCCCCAAAACGTCTGTGGGGGCTAGTTCTGTTTTGATATTACCTATAGCCTACTTAAAGTTGATTTTGTTTTGACATTTATTTTCAATCTCATTTTAAACCTACTGCGACAGTTGGTAGTAATGTATGAATATCCTCTATTGACATGTTGTTTTTATGCCGTAAAGGGAACGCTGCCTAATTTGCATAGTTTACTGAGATCAAAATGAATTGTCATGTCTTTTTTATCATATTATCAACGTCATTTTCTCCTCGGTATACTACAATGTACTTGTTATACTTGTTGGAATGGTAAACATTGTGATGGCCCAAAATTGTTGTTGGGCCTGGTCATCAAACTGCTATGGTAAACTTTACGCGTTACCGTTTTTAAGGATTAAGCTGTGGTTTCCGTACCTAGTTATTTCAGAGCATTCGATTCTCCCTGCATTAGGGTTGGCACAGTATATTTAACTTCAAGTAAGAAGTACCTTACTTAAAGATAAATGCATTATCAACAGACTTCAAACAGAAGGTTATCAATTTGTCTGTATTCCTCGCCTTGGTATATTACATGATATCTTCGTCAGTTGTGAACCGATATTTATTTATTTATTTTATCAACTGTGTGAGCTTTACATTCTCTCAATAGGCTCACCCAGGAAAGCATCACTACAGTAACAAATATGTATAATTAAATTGAATAATATTAATTACATTTAAATCACAACATTACAATAATAGAAATAACATCTATAATCTCTGAACACAAACACTCTGTGGTAATCGAACGAAACTCCAGCAAGTTGGATGCAAACATGTCTATTTGCGGATACCGGCACAAAACAACATTTAATATGATATTGGTATATTTATAAGCTTTTTCCAAAGGAAAAATATTGAAAAACCAATATCCAAATTGAAAGTTTTTCAATATCCAGATTTCAAGAGATTACGTCGTTTAATTTGAACCGAATTACACAATTATTGTTTGAAGTTTAAGTTTTCTTCCATGTTAATCCTGTAAAAATGTTGTGATTGACTTGTTAATGCAGTAACTGCTTGTTATAAAGCAAAACCTATATGTAAACACAGTTCCTTATTATTCAATGTATTATATTCAATGTTTACTATTGAGGTCACTGAGTGATATGTTTATAAAAAAAGTCTTCTCCTGTCTGATTGTCTTAAAATGGGACGTTTGTCTGAAGTTGTGATGTAACGTTTAGCAGCGGTACGTGAGCGGTGGCGGCGGCGGCGGTGTAGAGGAAGAGGGCGTATTGGACTTGAGGGCGCGGGATCCTTCCGTCATCTCCGTCGGCTCGCAGCATTCTGGCGCGTCCGAGCCCGCCGGATATCTCGACGCAGTCAGGTAAGCATTACCACTGGTTGAGTTGGTTTATAATAATAAAAAAATTAAAAGATAGACATCGCTTGTTTTAACGTTGAAGAATTCGAAGGTTGTATTTTCACCAGGAGTACAGAAGGTAAAGAAAGATTGTAACTGTTGTGATTGAACACTATTTAAGCTTGTAATATATTAGATGGATGAGCCATAGTTTTAAATGGAAAATGTATAGTAGATGCAAAGTAACAAGACATAATGCAAGTATGCAGTTCCAAAAGATTCTCTATCATCTCTGCAAATTGCAAGTTGCATTTTACCAGGAACACAGAAGTCTATGATAGATACAGCCTTTAAAGAGTTATTATTTATAAATCAGTTAAAGAACTGCACTTTGAATAATCTCTGTACTTTCTGGAAGTAGAACGTTAGTATAACGGTGCCTGTCAGGTGCTATACCTGTACAAATTATTTCAACTTCGAACTCTTAACACATTTTTTTGATAATCATAGTGAAATCAAAATTGTTAGCGGTACATAATACAAGAGTACTCATGCTATAAAATATAACATTTCGTGGATCAAAAATTCAAAAACAACAAATAATTTTAGCCTCCTATTCTAACAGCTAAACTTGTCGTATTACTATGAGAGACAAAAAATTTTCTGTCGTCTTTTTGCGCTTTTTTTTTAATGAAAATAGTCTGCTTCGCTGGTAGAACAATCTCTTCAATGGATGCTAATGATTTCGGTTTCACCCTTATACGAGGTCTGTCCGGAAAGTTCGTATAAAAGTGTTCTGGAATGCGAGAAAGAGGAGTGGGGAGGCCAGGTAAGCGCAGGACCCCTTCCTTATGTCCCTAACAATGCTTCAGTTCTGGTCTGACCGCCGTGCGGTGCGAACTGGCTTGTCACGCCATCTGTGAAGTTACCTCTTAACGAAACCCCGTCGGCATGGAGCCCGCTTCCGTTGAAGAGCAGCGCGTCGTAATCAAGTTTCTCTCGAAACTCGGCAAGAATGGCCGTGAAAGCAAAGAGTGGAAGACATCCGGGGAACCACGAACAAAAAAATCAAGAAAATCCCGCTCAAATGTCAAGACAATGTTGATTGTTTTTTTCGATGTTCGGGGGATTGTCCATCAAGATTTCGTCCCTCCAGGCCAGACAGTTGATGGAAAATTCTACGTCGATGTGCTCAGACGCCTCAAAGCTCGTGTGGCACGAGTTCGTCCAGAATTGGCGCGAGAGGGGCGTTGGATTCTTCACCACGACAATGCCCCTGCCCACACCTCTCTTGTTGTCCGTGAGTTTTTGAGTAAAAATTCCATTACGGTGACCGAACACCCCCTATTCGCCGGATTTGGCCCCGTGTGACTTCTTCTTGTTCCCAAAAACCAAATTGGTACTTCGGGGGCGGCATTTGGGGGACATAAATGAGATAAAAAAAGCTACGACGGGGCAGCTGAGAAACCTACAACCAGAGGACTTTCAAGGAGCCTTCTCACAGTGGAAACGGCGTTGGCACAAGTGCATTATGTCACAGGGGGAGTACTTTGAAGGGGATAAAATTGATTTACCTGAATAATTGTAAAATAAAATTTTTAAAAAACTTTTATACGTACTTTCCGGACAAACCTATTGTGATAAAGTCAAACGCAGTCGATGTATTAAAGTTATGGTGAACACTCTACATTTCATTAAACATATTATATTCTAACTGGACAAGGGCTGTGCCTACAGCCGTCTCTTGGATTAATAACGCTGGATAACTCTCATTATCTTCGACTCTCATTTTGGATGTCTCATGGCCCGTAACAAATCGCGGGGATAAGATCCCGCAGCTATTATTTTGTAACACCGCAAGCATGGCAAACAAGTATTTAGCCTATCTGATAGTACATGGTTATCGTGATCCATAGGTGCCTTCAACACCAGAAATGTCACGTGCACGTTCCCGATCCTAAAGATGCTTTAATAAGATCTTTTAAAAGAACTTCATACTGTACCCTCTAAAAACTTTCGTTAGGAATCTCACTCGAAAGCGTCGAGTTCGTTCATGTAGGAATGCGAGGGTGTTTAGATAGATAAATTATTTATGTATATTAATTTATAATAACACGCCGTCTGGACTCGGCTTAGAATAGTCTGCCTCCCCTCCACAAGTAGGTGCCATAAAGGGCGACTAAGGGAAATCATGTAATCGAAGAGTGGGCAGTAACGTAACCTCAGGAATGGCAACGCATGGGGGGTATGGGGTATCATGGGCGAAACAGTATACTCTGTTATTTCCATGGTACTGCTCATGTCTATAGGCGACGGTTACCACTTTCCATCAGGTGGGCCGTCAGCTTGTTTGCCATTCTAAGTTGTATACAAAAAAATGCTACAGGGCCTCTAGACAAGTGGCAAGCGAATTCGTCGATGGAATCGACATTGCTAGCGAGTTCGTGAGTTGGAATGAATCATCCGGCGATGCTATCTCATTCTATCTCATGGACTCGCTAGCGATGTCGATTCCATCGACGAATTCGCTTGCCATTTGTCTAGAGGCCCAGTTGTTACAATGACAAGTAACTATCGGCGAATATACGAGTTAGACCTACATATTTTCAACAGTGTACGTACGTACGATGGTAGACAGTAATGATGATATTATAATGACGTTAATTGATTGTGAACGCGTGCCAATACTTGCAGATCGACCGTGTCGGTGTATTCGGGCAACTCGAACTCGAGCTCGGACCGCGACATCCTCGACCTGTCGATGCCGGACAAGAACTCGATGACGGAGGTGTGCTACGTGTGCGGCGACGAGTACAAGCGCGGCACACTCTCTAACCTGCACACCAAAGAGCCCAAGGACAAATCGGTAATTGTACTACAACAATATTTGCCAATTGCGAACTGCCAACCACCGACCTGGCACGGCTTTAACTCTCGCACCCAAGCTGTCGGCTCTCGATGTCTGACATATATTGTACTACAAACGTTTTCTGCCTTCAAACTTTAAACTTAACCTCATAAATATAAAGACGAAATTTGTAAAACACAGTTTACAAGACCATGCGGTATAATAGCGCTTTAGCCAAATTTTATAAGTTATTAAAATAATGTGCATGTAAAACAAATTTATATTTTGTAAATTACCATGGAAATATAAACACCATGTAAATGGTCATCACAGAATAGGTTTTCTAAATACATAAAAAGACAAACATCAGAAACCACAACAAGTATTAATAAAATAAATAAAAAAAATAATAATGCTTTTACATATAAAGGCAGACCAAGGATTGTCGTCTTGTTGTTATTGCCACGGTTATGCACACACGCTCTGCACTAGTAGGTCTTTTCTCATTAAATTACACTAATGTATGCAAACCGTGTGGGTGGATATATACCTGAAATAAAAAATAAATATTATATATGCAACGTATTGTATGGTTAACGTGTTAGTTTGTAGACATAGCGTTTTTTAAATACTCAATCAGAGGTATACTGAAAATTCTTCAATCGTTTTGGAAAATTGACAATAATTTGGGGCGTTGCCACACTAAGTTAAGCTCAAGTTACGAATGCTTTTAACCCTTTCGTGGTTTAGTCTATTTCAACTGTGTGTCTTCTTTGTTATCGCAAATTAATATAGGAATAAGCAATTTTATTGTTGACAATTTCATAAGCACACATTATATTTTAATGTAATAACTACCGGTTTAATTTATGGTTTCGGAATCAATTTGTGATCCTTAATCAACAGCAACTGTGGCCCGAGCGCGAGCCTGACTACGCGCCTTGGTCTGCTGAGTCGCGTACAACCGCTCATGATTAAGGATCACGAATTAATCCCGAAACTAGTCGAGCTTTCTCGATCTAATTATACGTAAGTTAAACCGGTAGTTATTCGTGTTTCTACCGTGAAGCAGTTGTGTTTGCATAGCTATGTTTCGGTTTGAAGGGTGGGATATGGCAGTGAATTTACAGGGTACAGAGGAATAATACCTGAGTCCTCAGGAATAGCAACGCATGGGCGGGGGGTATCATGGACGAAACAGTATACTCTGTTATGTCCATGGTACTGCTCCGTAATTGTATTGCTAAGTAATTGTTTTAAAATTGTACACCGTTAATTGCTAAACACAGCTTTAGTTTTAATATTATATACGATAACAATAGAATATAAGAACAATTATATATTAAATTCAGACACTTTTACGATTTTAAATACGAATTTAAACTGTATGCAAAAATGTCCAAGTCATTATAATCATTGTACAGTCTGCACATGCGGAATAGGGAGGGGATCATTCTATATTACATTGTTATTACAATAAGGTACATGGAATATTTTTTTTTTTTTTTTAATATTTTAAGGGCTTTTACCTTCTTCAGGTAATTAATTTTAGTATTCTCTTATTTACCTCCTGTTTTAAACGGAACATGACTTAACAGATCCATAGTATACCATTTTGCGTTTATAATTTTATATAACGTGTCTTGAATTACTACGTCTAGATTTACTACAGTAATACCATATTTGAAATATGTGAATTTGTTCGAAAACACTATACAATTTTTGAGAGAGATGAAAAGTGTTAATTAAGGAGAAAGGTTGCACAGAGACTACTTATAGTGCCTCGACATATATTGGTGTTGTACAACAGGAATTGTTACTATATGGCAGTTGAAATATATAATGAACTAGCGGCCCGTCCCGGCTTCGCACGGGTGGACATTTTTACATTTTAAAAAGTGGTTATTAAGGCTGCACACGCGACGGAAGCTTAAAAATGGAGTAACTTCCCCCGTTTTCCTAACATTTCCCTTCACTGCTCTGCTCCTATTAATCGTAGCGTGATGAAAAATATACTATAACCTGCCCAGGAGTGTGAAGAATAATTGTACCAAGTTTCATTAAAATCCGTCGAGTAGTTTTTGTTTCTATAATGAACATACAGACAGACAGACAAAAATTTTTCTGATTGCATCTTTGGCATCAGTATCGATCACTATTCACCCGCTGATAATTATTTTGTAAATATATTTCATGTACAGAATTGACCTCTCTACAGATTTATTATAAGTATAGATAGATTTATATTTTGTAATGAATTTATATAGTCTCGTTCACGGAATCTTGTCATTAGATCTAAGGACAGTAGTGTCGAGTGAGTATAGATTACCGACAGAATAAAGAGATCAGATAGACAAAAAAAAATGAAAAACGTTACAATTGGCTTATTGAGAAATGTTTTTATTCACTTGAAGACTGTTTTAATGTTAAATTTTAGGAACGAGTTCTAATTAAATATTTGCAAGCCGCACGGTTGAATGCAGAGTCTTACATAAAATACTTCTAACAATAAACCTGTATTTGAGGAAATAAAGTTAGTTAATTCATTCATTCAGAAAAATTTAGTCGTCTTTCATATGTAGGTAGCTTACACTTTATATTTATATATATTAATATCAATTGATAAATAACCAAAACTTTTTGGTTATAATCAGTAATAAGCGAATCGACTTTTCGCGTTTCACCTTGTATAGTTTTACTTGAAAAGTCACTCCAGCCGGATTTGGTCAGATTTTTTCGACTCGTGTCCATTTATCGTCCGCCGCCACATCGTCGCCACTCCCACTCGTGCGATAACTCATTAATTAGGAATTGTCGTATTGTCGCACGCCAATTAAAAATTATCACCGCCATCGCGTTACGGAATGACAATCCAAAGGTTTAGAGGTTACAGCGCATCACTGAAGAGTGATGTGTCGTAATCATGGTCATTGTTTATGTTTGTTACGTGTGTATCCTGAGAGACGTTTTCCGAAATTTCGGGGCCAAACAAAACCCGAACTTGATGTTAACCCTTCCTTGTATAATGTTGGAAATTTCCATCATAACATTGAATGCCCAAACATTGTATAAAAGAACCTAGTTCACTTTAAGTTGATCGTGTCTGGATACCTTTTTGATGTTCATTGCAGTAAAAAAAAAACATCGATGTCAGATTTATTTTTTTAACCATTTTTCCTTTAATTTTGAACACGAATTATATCACCTTGATTTATTTCACCAATAAAAAAAATCATGCAAAGAAGGGTTCAAATTACATAATACATTTACATACACCGTTTCAATATATTAGAAATGTTATAATATCGTTCATATGACTTTTATGGTAGACGGACGGACGGACTTTTATGGTAGAATTTATAACGAACAAAATGTAAAGCTACATTTACTAGACTGATTGCGGTATAAACGAATACACGAAGTTGAGCCTAAAACTTCGGAATTTAATTTTATGGTAGAATTTTAGAACTTGCAGAAGGATTGCGTTCTTTCGACCGAAAATCGAAACTCTGGCCCACAATTTTAGTTTGTATTTTCTTTTTATGACATTTAGAAAGGCAAACAAGCCGACGGCCTACCTGATTGAAAATAATAACCGTCGTCAGTATTATGGGCATAACAGAGTACACTGTTTCGCCCATGAGGATAAAAGTGTAATGCCTCTGTACCCTGTAATTTCACGGCCATATTCCATCCTTCAAACCGAAGCATAGTCATGCAAACACAAGTCACAGTCTCTCTCTCTGGTAAACATATTTGTCCATGTGTACCTTTGTCCCACTCGTGTTCTATCCGCAAAGCAGTTATGCTTAGACTGTGTTTTGGTTTGAAGGGCGGGATAAGGCAATGGAATTACAGGGTACGAAGGCATAACACCATAGTCCGCCATACTGGTACCCCGCCCGCTTACACTGTTGGCATAGACGGAGTTACTATTCTATTTTTGTCAAAAAAAAAAAATATCATAACCCGGAGGAAAGGAATCGTGAGTGATGGGATCATTTCAATCTCCAAGCAGTTTCCCATGGAAACCAAGTCGGTTTAATTTTTATTTTTAAAGTTTGTTTTGTTTTGTCTGTCTGTCTGCATGTTGCAGCTTCACGTAAAAGCTGTTGTTGTAGTATTTCTGAAGGTGTAACTTGTGTATGTACTTGATACATCATTTGGAAATGGTTGGTGTGTGTTTGATCTTTATACGTCATCCAGAATTAATCTACTTCATAGCTTTTCCTACATCTGAAATCAGCGCGTTGGAAGTACCGGACAAGAAATATTAATCATGAAGAATTTCTTCTAATAATATACTTAGAAATCCTTAATTATTAATATAATTCGTGCTGTGCTGTGTGATCACCACCAACAGACGTGCCAACGCGGTACTCCACAGTTGATATCGTTAATTTGCGCCCGCGATACGAATAATTGCGTTTTTAAGTCGGTTCTAACTCGTCGCACGCGCCTCAGTTAGTCCTTTGACTTCATAGTTCATGTCCGGGTTATGTTTGTTGTTTGATATTCTATATTTGTTAGCCAACTTGGAATGGCAAGGGCGAAGGGATTGGTAGTAAAGGACAGTAACACTCCCACTGATTTATATGGAAACTATCGCGACGGCCAACCATTAAGGAAATCGCTGATCATGTTGGCATCTTGATTAGCTCATGCCATGAAACATTCGAATGTTTTGGGAGTAAATCGTGGAAGCAAATTTTGTTTGAATTTTGAACTAAAATGACGACTAATAAAAGTTGATCAGAAATCATTAAATGAAGTCAACGATGATGCACAATTACTGTTAAACGTGTTATAACAGGTTTAGAAACATGGGTTTACGGATATGACGTCGAAACTAAGGCTCAATAGTCCTAGACCCGCCAGGTTCGTCAAGACCGAACAAAGCTCTATAACTGTGGCCGAACGAAAAATCTATGCTCACTGTGTTCTTCGACTTTATTGGCATAGTGCACCATGAATTTCATTGCTTAATCGTAAATATTTGGCCAAAAACTAATACTATA